CATACATCATCACACCATATTTTAATGGGAATTAGCATGATATAGCATGTCAATGTAGGGTATTTAGCAATGCAATCTACTTTTTAAAATATTAAGTGTATGGTATACCAAATGACTTTTTTTATCCCTCTGATCTAATGTTGTAACACAAAAACTGTGTCAGATTATGTCAGAATAAAGTATAACGTACCATGTGAAACTTACATTTTTTTCTTTTTAATCATTTCTCTTTCATCACTATTTTCTACCATATGATTTTTGTTTGATATAATCTTTTGTTTAAAATTTTAATTATTGTATCATTTATATATATATATATAAAATAAGATTTTTTTCTATATATGCTACAATTTGAAATTTTAGAAATTGACATATATTACACAAAATATTCATATAATATTATAATGAAACGTGATCATATAAATGGCATAACATATATACTGATATTCACATTTTATTATATTTGTGACTACTCAAACTATTAATATAATGTGAAAATAAAACGTAATATAATATGATATATACTAGGTATTTATATGATATAGCATGTTATATATCATACAAAATGTCATATATTAACATGGTATGCCATATTATTATTATAAACATCATATTTTTGTATGCTATAGCAAATTATTTTGAATTATAGTATGTTATATATCATACAAAATGTCATATATTAACATAGTATGTCATATTATTGTTACAAACATTATTCTTGTAATGTATAATATGTTATTTGAAATATAGCATGCTATATAATATATAACATGCCATTTATTAACATGGTATTACCAATTTATAATTATACATATCATATCTTATGTTATGTTATATAGCAGTAAACTTAGTAATATGTTTTGAATATTGTTTACAACATGATAAATATAATAGTACACGTTATATAGTATATATCATGCTATGAATATTGTTTACAGTATGATATACCATGTTATATAATAAAATAATATGTTATATGGTATATTATGTTTTATTGTAACATTATGTTAATAGTTTGAGTAAAATTTGTCCATTTATAAAATTTCAAACTGTAACATATAAAGAAAAAAAATATTGTTTTTATTAACATAAAGATTATGGGATGATTCAATTCTAATAATAAACATTATAGATGTGAATATCAAATGGAAAAAACAATTGATGAAAGAGAAATTTATTAAAAAAAATAAAAATGTGAGGTCATATTACTTTATAGCAGGTTATATTGCACGCTTTTGTGGTGTGTCAGAAGAGCAAAACTATCAACATTTTGTTTCTCTTAGCTATCCGAGTTAATTAAACATGAAGTATCAACTTACAATTTGAATTATAAGAGCATCCGCATTGGAGACAAATGTGGATGTTTTTAAATATAAAATTATTAAAATTTGAGTAAAAAAAAGAAAGAGAGTGTTTTTGGTTGAAATAATGCGGTGTATTGAAATATAAAATTAATAAAATTTGAGTAAAGAGAGGAGATAGTGGATATTGTTGGAGAGATTGTGTCTTTAGGAAGACATAAATAGTGACTTTTGGAGAGAGAATATGGGTGTGTTTAAATATAAAATTAATAAAAGTTGAGTAAAACAATGAAAGAGAAGGTATAAAGTTGAGTAAAAGGAAGAGAGAGTGTGTTTTTAATATTTGTTTATTTAAAGACATCCACAAAAGATGACGAATGCGGATGGTCTAAGAGGGTATTCACCTAAATGACCCTATTTTAATTGTACCACTGCAATTATCTCATATAATTATGTAACACCACGACAATTAAAATTTAACGATAGCTCAACGATATCTTAGCTATTGTGAGTGGTCACTGAAATTTTGAGACGTTATAATATAAACGAATGAATAATAAGAAGAAAAAGAAAATAGTGGATACC